AAACTTGAGATTGCACGAAAGTGTTACAAAAATGAACATAATAAATCACAATAAATTATAATGAAACATAATAAATTTTCCCTAAACTTGTAAATTTAACCCCTAATGTAACCCCTTCACGTGTTCGTTTATAGAACAAATCTCTTCTATATTGATCTTAAAACACGGAACAATTAATCGAACAATTAATCTGAACGCGGGATTTAATCGAACGTTTAAACGTCGTAAATGTGTTGCGAGATACACGCTCTGATCCTTGAGTAAACCTTAAGACTATCGTTATCGGAGGAAACTCTATGAAAATACCGACGCGATGATAGAGAACATGTGTCTCGCCGAGTCGAAAATATACTGCAAACTGCCGCAATTTTAGCGCGATCTTTGACCCACGGTCTAGGCTAGGGAGGAATGTTTCCGCGTCCCGAGCTCGAAGTGTATATATATCGAGCGTTAACGTTGTAAATGTTATATTCGCGTCACGCGCACGATACGCAATTCAAACAAAGTTCTATTTCACGGCGCGCGCCGCAATTTGCTCGCACGTAGCGTTTATGAATCATTTGCCGCGTCACAACATCACCTACGTTACATAACAAAAGGTCGCGTGTCGTGTTGTACAGCGGCGGACAAGCCGCACGTGAGAAATATCCTCGAAACTGAACACCAAACGAAATTTTTTTCCAACGCGATTCTGCGAGCACGACACGCCATCACTCGCAACGTGGCGGGATCGAAATTCGATTAGTCAGAAATACTGCTGACTACAATCTTAAAATATAGCGGGCTATATCAAGCCTCAATCCCTAAATAGACAGATAGGCAGATCGGAATTTAATACCAAGAACGTCGGCTTGAGAATCGCGGACGTTTGCGAGAACGTTTGACATTCGTCAACAATACTGTTAAATATTAAAGGATAAAATTTAAACCCAATATCTTGAGTTAAATAACATTTGGTTATTGCTAACTACCATGTATATATGTATATGTCAAAACTTATTATTTTAACACAAAACAGAATTATTAATTCCATTGGTTTAGTTAAATTAACGATATATCGAATAGGAGCAGTGAGACCTATAGAAATGGTTAAAAATAACTCAAATTGAATATAATTGGACCCTACGAATTTAATAGTGGACCAATTTTAACTGCGCAGAAAGAGAACGATTCCGAATGGTTCCGCGTGCGAGAATCGCGAGATCGCCATCTTCCACGCCTTCGCTCCAATTCGCGTTATCTTTATAATCAACATCAGACACGTGGTCGGATCGATAAGAGAAAATTACGCGCTCGAACAGAACGAGATTCGCCGGTATTATAGAGGCACGTGGCGGCAGGTAGAACGAGGCAAGAAAGTCACGTCAAGGCTCTTGTCGTCGACCTTCGCCGTGGCTCGATCAAATCGTAACTATCTGAAATCGTAGCTAGTAGCCGTTCCGCGAGCGGAACATTTCAGAATCCCGCGCGTCGTCTTGTGATTATGCATACACGTTGAATATAAATCACCGATCTCATTTTAATTTACCGTCGGACAAACAGGAAGCCGCGTTTATATCTCGCTTGGATTTTCTAATCGCGCATTTAAAAATTACACAACTCCTCTCTCGCTGTTAAATATTAAAGGATAAAATGTGGGCTAATACCTTGAGTTAAATAACACTTCGTTATTTTCAACTACCATGTGTGTCGAAATTTATCATTTTAACGCAAAACAGTATTTTAACTTCATTGGTTTAATTAAATTAACATTGTTTCAGTTAAATTAGCAGCACGTTAAGTAACAGCGGCAATCTATAGGAATGGTTATAAAAATGACTCGAATTGAGGATAATTTGACACTACGAAATTAACAGCGCTGTACTATCCTGCATATAAACTAATATCTTTCTAAACAAAAATATGAAAAGTTTTTATTCTCATAAATTAAAAGAATTGTCCGTAGAACAAAGTCTGCACGTAAGTAGATCCGCAATGATCGCGAAGAAAATTACGGCGGCGAGTTGGAAAATTGCGCGATATTTCGTCTTGAATATGTAACATAATTATCTTCGTGAAAACAAAAATAGGACGTACAGTTCTATGTCCGTAAACTGGAAGAATCGTTTATAGAATGATGGAGCTGATACGAAAAGTGGGTATACACGGATTTGCAGTGGTCGCGAGGAAAATTACGGTGGCGCGTTCAGTGATAATAATAAAAGTATACCGCGCGACACGCGGGGCGGATCAATGCAACTTTTTCCACTCACGCGATTATCTCTTTTCACCGCTCACGGTGATAAACGGGGTAAGCCCAAGATGGGACCCAAATTGGATAATAGCGAGTAGCAGAAGCTGCGTTCTCAAGCGTCTTTCTCTTTCCTCCTATTTATTTTCTTTATTTTTCCCCGCAATCACGGCGCTTTCGCGAGGAGCGCGACAAACTCCGGCGGAGATATAATCCGACGGATAAATTCAACGAGTCGAATGTTGGTCGACATTAATAATGCGACGAGTCGGAAATGCGGATTGAGCTATATACGTGTAATGCGATATTTGTTAATTAACGATTTTAGCAATATGCCCTCGTCAAATATTCAAATTCGGGATGTAATATAATTATGATTACATATACTAACTCCATTCTGCATCACGCATTGCGTCGCACATAAATTACACGACTGACGCGCCTTGGTTAAAAGCAAACAAATAATTACTATCATTAATAACAATTAACATCATACGTGGAATGATCAGGCATACAGTATTTCGTTATGCAATAATTATAGTTTTATGCAATGTATATATATATGATTATAATGTATCGTTTGTACGTACATCATTTTATCAAAAAATTCACAATCCGCTCCGTACATGGGTACATGATCTATGATCTATGTTCAAGATAATCTTGCAAATATATATTCGTTTAAAAAATCGCGCGATCACGTGACCGCGAGAGGAAACATTTACGCAGATACGTTCAGGCTGCAATCTTTCAAAGACGAAAATGCAATTATTCGATTCGGCTATCACGTGACCGCGGGACAGAATGTATCGGTGATAGTGTGATACGTTCACTCACCCTGGAGATGCGCAGGGGTTGATGCGTGTCGCAGCCGCCGTGCATGCGGAAGCCCCAGGGGGACCCGCCGTAGAGGGTGACTTCCCTCGCGCTCATCCCGCGTCGACACCCCCGCTCGCACCGTCGACACGCGCATCCGGTCTTTCCCGCGTCACGTCACACGTCGCGTCGCGTCGCGTAATAATCGTGTATGCGCGGCTAAGTTCGCGACACTCGAGCCCGCATCGCGCGGACCGCCGCGCGGGGAGGGGGGGGATGCGAGACGACGGCGACGCTTCTCGGCGTGGCGTAACTCCGGTCCGGAGTAAACTCCGGTCCGGCGACGCGAAATCAGGCGCGAAATCCCATCGTCGTCGTCGACGACGGGCCCCGTTTACGCCCACCGATGCAAAACGCGACGTTAAATCGCACGCACGCACGCACGTATAATACGCGCGCACACACGCGCGACCCACACTCGTTCGTGGCTCGCGTTGAACTGACGGCGCGCGTCCTTCCTCCCACCCTCGCCATTACGCCCCCGCGCGCGTAGTAATCCGCGCGCGTACGCGCGCCCTCTCACCCTCCCCGCCCGCCCACCTGGTTTCGTACTCCGCGGGGGTGCGTGGCCTCCCCAGGACCAGGACCGCAATTCGGAGGCTTCTCCCGTTGCCCCGAGCAGAATTTCTCTCTCTGCCTCGCGATTTTGCTTTTATTAGAATCTCTCTTTGACTTTTGTTATAGAATATTTTCTCGAGAGAGGAAACGATTCGTCGCAATACGTGTTCTGGTTTTTTAGGCCCAGAGTTCTCCACCGGTATACCGTCTTCTATATCCCGCACGCGCTTTTATTTTTTCCTTTTGCGCTTTATCGTTGTTCTCCACACGACGCGTATTCTCTCTACATTTTCACGGGCGATCAACACTGACTATACCGCACGTTTATCACGGATTCCCTCCTGCCCCCTCCCATCGAACGAAAAAAGAATTTGTTACGCGTTTTGATAGTCCTAGAACAACTCGTTCTTTTTGTTTCTTTACCGCAAAAGACTATCCTTTTTTCGTGATGTCCTAGAAAATAAAACATTACTTAGATATAATGTAACCGCACTGTAAAATACTAAAAGATGAAATTTAAACCAATACCTTGAGTCAGGTAACATTTTGTTATTTTTAACTACCATGCGTGTCGAAATTTATTATTTTAAAATAGTTAACTCATCTACTGTTTTAATTAAATTAACGACATATTGAGTAGGAGCAGTGGCGATCTACAGAAATTGTTAAAATGACTCAATTTGAGTATAATTTGACACTACGAATTTAGCAGTGCGTAAAGATGAGATGAAATATACTTTTATATAAACATTCTTTAGTTATAGCGTTTAATCCATTTCTGGAACGACATTCCCGATTATAAAGCATTTTAAGAAATTCATATTCTTTTATGCTTAGGGACACGAAAATGGTGGAATTGGGGAAGAGAAAAAAAAAGGGAAGGAAGGAAGCAATTAAGGGTGTCTGCGAAGGAAGATAAACGCGTCGCTGCGATTACATGGTCGACGTCAATTTGTAAAACAGAAGCATGTAGTTATACAATATATTGAAATAAACGTCTATAATTTTATCTTCTTACTCATTTCATCTCATTTTCATTCGCTACATATACGTGGCCTAACGCGATGAAAGCCGAACTCCATCTTGTCAGGAAATTTTCGCGCGATCGCCGAAGCTTTAATTCGTTCGCGCGGAAAATGCTGGCGAAATGGCGTAACGGCGCAAAACGTCCAGTCGTCAAATGTCACTATCAAGTGACTTTAAAGGCGCGTCCATACGAGGATTTGGGGGATTCGATAAACGCGATCCGCCAATCGCGAGGTGCCGAGAAGCGCCGATCGTTGGCTGTCGTAAAGCGAGACTCATGAGAGACGGGCATGAAATTATTGAAATTGTAAATTGTACCTTTGTACCCGTGGAAAGCCATGACATCGGAAAACATCGTGCACGGAGCGGAGAAATGAGGTGTACCACCGCCGCGTCGTGACGTCTTCGAGGGACTTGGCGCTCGGGACTGGCTCGGGACAACGCACGAGGTTAACTCCCGCCCGGGGTACACGCCGCCGTAACCAAATGGTTACGATCCCGCGTTATAACCTACGCCGCGTATGCGATCCCAACATCAGCTGATGAGCTCGACGTAACTGCGCGCACGACAGCCGGATTTTCCGAACGTTTCGCACCAAACGGATACCCACGGACGGGGGAAACGTCGCGATGGCAGACCTCGCCCTGGGGGAGCTCAGCGGCGATCAAACCGAGAAAGTACTGCAGTTTCAGGTACGCGGTTCTACGTTCCTTATCTTAAGGTCACGCGCCTTACTCCGATATTCGTTATCGTGAATAACGATACACAATGATTTACCTCCAGGATCTCACCGGCATCGAAGACCTCTCGGTATGCAGAGACGTTTTGCAGAGGCACAACTGGAACCTGGAAGTGGCGGTTCAGGTATCGTACATTATCTCCCTTGTGTATCTCTCAATCTGTTCTTGCGGCGTTTCACCATTCACTATATTTTAATATAATTTCGTATATCAAACGTCATCCAAAATGAATAACTGAATGAAGCTGTATCTTTTCTTTGTTTGTGACGAGCAGCGGCATATTTATTTATTATTTTATTGTTGATAATTGTTCAATATTGTCCAATGGATGCCTTTATGTAAGCGTCACATGTCACATACGAGCTCTGATTTATGTTATTCAAAATGCTTCTTGTGTGCAGGAGCTTACTTTGTGTGTTGTAGGAACAATTGAACTTGTACGAAGGCAGACCATCCATGTACGCACAGGACTCGCGTGCCCGCCCGCCACAGGTTGTAGATGACAGTAGTTCCAGAATTTATTTTAGTTACCCAGGAAGCTCCGGTGGAGGCGGCGGTCTCTTATCCTACATTTTTTCCATGTGTTACAATCTAGTGAGCAGTATCCTACAACTACTTTTTGCAATATTTAAGAGAAATGTTAGACCTGGTAAGTAGTGTATACAACACAATAATGAACGTTACGTTCATTCCGTTTACGAGTCAATTTCAATTTCTTAAGAATCGACAAAGAGATTTATGTAGGATATTTCATTATTGTGCTCAAAATAAATGTTTAGAAGCGCAAATTTTTCTCTAAGCTACTTAGATTCAATTAAAACCTTGCAAGATAATAGTAATCTACTGATTACAAATTGATAAGACTTAATCTCGATAATTCAAGATTACGATAATCATTATTCTTGTCACCGTGTGTACGTGTAAATTTATAATTCATGCACTGTAATTGAAGCAAATAAATGATATCTTCCAAGTGTCCGCCGATCCAGTGGAAGATGTAGTCAACTTTATTAGATCGTATGAGGAGCGTTACGGTAACACTCACCCAGTATTTTACCAGGGCTCCTACAGCCAAGCTCTTTCGGACGCGAAACAAGAATTGAGATTTCTGTTGGTATATCTGCATAAGGATGAGACTCAAGAAGTCGACCAATGGTGCAGGTAATCCTATGATTACTTGCAATTACTTTTTTAATAGACAGCATGTACATAAAGTATATAATGTGATGAGAAATGTATCTTTTCCAGAAATACATTGTGCGATCCAGAAGTGATACGATATATAAATATCCATACTTTGTTCTGGGCATGTAACGTAAAGTCCGGAGAGGGTTACAAAGTCGCGGAAGCACTCAAATTGGGTTCATATCCCTTTCTAGCGCTGATCGTGCTAAAGGACAATAGAATGACAATAGTCGGTCGGTACGTAAAGCTGATGTGTCTGCATACTTTAAAACAAACATTTGTGTATTATTTCAATATTTACAATTTATTTAACTTAATGCATAAACTTGTTTTTCTATCTTACAGATTGGAAGGCGCACCATCTTCCGCTGATTTAATGTCGCGATTGCAAACGATCATAGAACGTAATGAAATTAATCTGATCCAAGCACGTCGAGACAGGTAATTGGAATATTTCGTAAGATTTAAGATCTGGAAATAAATCTGGCAATGATGCAAAACTTATGTTACCTTTTGAAAATCTGCTAATGTTTAAAGATTGGGGAAATGAATGTTATTTGTCGTATCTTTTGATTGGTATTTTAGAGCGGAACGTAGCGCGGCGCAATCGCTTCGGCAACAACAGGATCGCGCTTACGAGGAGTCGTTGCGCGCGGATCAGGAGAAAGATCGCATAAGAGAAGAGGAACGAAGAGCACGCGAGGAGCAAGAGGCCCGAGAGAAGGAAGAGTTGAACGCTCAAGAGCTGGAGATACAACGTATACGTATCGAGAAAGAACTGACTATTGGCAAAGTGCCACTCGAGCCGCAACCATCTAATCCCAATGCGTGTCACCTTCAAATTAAGCTTGGAGAAAGAACGATGAAAAGAAGATTTCTTATGACTGATACAGTCAAGGTATAATTGCGAATATAAACAATCGTAAACATGAATCAGAAATATTCTTAATTAATATAATATGAACAATTTGCAGAAGTTTTTTTTTTTATTAGACATTCGTATGGACAATGCATAATTGCAGCAATCATTTGTTATTATCAACTTAGCGAAATAATGATATACAATGAAAATAGGGGTTATTTCCTTATCTTTTTCAGGACGTTTATCACTGGATATTCAGCCAACCAGATTCTCCAGCGAGTTTCGAGATAACAACGAGCTATCCCAGAAGAATCCTCTATCCTTGTAGAGACATCTTGACTCTATCGGATGCCGGTTTAACCCATAGAGAGGTCCTTCACGTTAACGATCTAGACGACTAATCGCAATTCATTTCGATACGACATTCTTCAAGTTTTAGTATCATTCCACAGGAAAAATGATACTGTCATGTGAAAGACACTTGTCAAGAGACACAAGCTCGTGCAGCTTATATACACAAAATGTAAACACACACACATATACACACACATGTATACATAATATATATATATTTGATACATTCTAGTACTTTATGTGAGGTATACTTTACTGGATGAAAAATATGATTGCACAAAATATACCGAAAGATAGGATAAAAAAAAGGGGGGAAAAAAGGTGTGTCTGTAAATGCAGCTTATTTAAATTAACAATCGGTACTTTGACCATCGCATTTATTGAAAAATGCATTTCATATAAGTGAAAGAAGAAATGATAGATAGGAATATATATTAAAATTTTTTTTTTGCGTAACAAAATGATCTCGTAAAAAAATTGTACTAACCATTTCTTTTATATCTCTCTTTCGACACTATCACTAAACTTGTGTCAATATTAAAAGAGCAGTGATATGTATGTTACGATTGAATTTCGACGCTTGGATAAATTTCATGCACACTCTTGTAAATTTGTTCCCTCTGTCATACACAAAATTTGTCTAATATATAATTAAATATATAAGGGGGGGGGGAACAGAACATTTTTTTTATATATATATGTTTATTGTGCAATCAGTTTATCAATAACAGGCGCATTCGTTCGATACTTCTGCGGTCCAGAATAAGTAATATCGAGAGAATGATTAATAAATTCTATGAATTCCACATATATATGTAGATTCCGATAGAAAAACTTTTGATTGCCGATTTTTATCAACCAATTATAGTATTATATCCAATGGTATTCACATATTTTGATTTGAAAATGTGTAACGCGCCTAGTTATACGTTCGATATCTGGTACAAAAAGAGCATTGAATTTTATCGGTTATCAACCGGTATAGTCATATTTATTTCTAGAACAACAGCGACGTTGTCCGTTTCACAATTTTGCGCAATTGTTTCCTGTTGCATCCGATAAGTTCTTTTTCTTTTTATGCTGCCAATGCTGCTTATAAAAGATATAATATATTTCAGTTCTGACCAAATGTTCCCAGTTGCAAGATTTATTTTTTTGGAATTTTATATAATGTACATTTAAACTGAGTTATGTACAAATTCATCATTTCGTCATATCATGTAAGTACCCTGACGTATTTACAGTAAGTAGGCATAAGTATGACGGTTGCAGGAGATTACGAGTACAGATATTCCGTACGCCGTTAGCGATATTTATCAGTATCTGAGTCATCGATAAGTGGTGTCCATTATTATTAAAGTAGGAAACTAACGTTATATTACATAAAATAATTTTCTTTTAAATAATTTAAAATACCAATTAATTTATTATACAATATAACACAATATTTCAATAAAATTAGACACCAAGAGATACGTATCGCGCGTTAACGAGGTACAGAATACTGTTTAGGAAGAAATCAAGTCAGGTAGACATTCTATTTCGGATGGGTTTTTGATTTTGGCGAGACTTTTGCCCTCTCCTTGGAGCATTGCGCGCGACTGTAAGCGCGCAAGGTGTTGTATACTTTGTTGTTCAGTTTGACATCAAAACCACCCGTGTCTCCCGTGTCGATTCCCGGTGGACATTTTAACAGTCGGCAAGCATTAATCCTGGAAGACATTAAGATGTCGTGCTTCGTAACAATCTGAGAATCTTTTCCCATCTTCTTGTAGCCGCAGCGTGGTATCGAGGCGTACTCTTTCTCTATGCTCTGAAAAAAACAATTAGCGTATCTTAATACGTGAATGCCTATTATATGTTGATACATTGTTGTTAATGATATAAACAAGTCCTTAATCCATGCGGTATCTATATATATAAAAGATCTTATGAGTGACACGTATCATTGCGCAGCACTTACGACAAAACGGTCGAAGTCTCTGTTGCTGTCGTCCACGTTAGAATCCACGTTATCTTCATCCTTAGGATCGTACAAAGAGCTACGGTAATTGCTATATGAGATGCTCACTGAAAAAAAGGAGGAATAACTTTAGACAATCGCATAACTTTAGACAAGGGATTGACGTATCTCTTGTCACCTTTCGAGTCGCGATTGAACTTCTCTTCTGTACGCTTCAACATCGTGTTGTACTCGCGATTAAATTGAGTTTGTAACAAATTTGCTATGACCTCGTCGTCGCCAGTGTCACTTGCATCATACGTTTCTCCCACCGTTTTGTCCGCTTGAATTGCGTTGTCCTCGTCAAAATATTTCTTCAGCTCCCTGGCAATACATAAAGCGAGACTTCAAATAATGGAGAAATTATACATGACAAAATAACTGTTTCAATTTCATGTTTTGACCACCAACTTGAAATGTTAAATGTTTCAAATGATAATTCTCACGACATAACGAAGGTCATCCCTCGCGTATATTTCATTAGGAAATACTAAGTTTTCACGGTACACTATTCAAGTTTAGCACAAGTTGAATGGAAAACTGAGAATTTTGTGAGGTCTACTTACGGAGGAGCGTCCGATAAAGATAACTGGACTCTCGTCGCAGCAAGCAATATTTACCTCTCCTGCATGCTCGCGGCCAATTGTTCCGTCGTGATATCTAGTAGATTGATAGGACTCTCAAGGGGTTGTATTTTTGCCCACACTTTCGGGGTTGCCATTGCTGTGATCGACCGGAACGCGGTGAATTTGTACAGGCACGAATAACGACGCGTCGCCCGCACAGAAGTTGGACAAGATAAATATGAGATAAATAAAAGAGTTCCAAGTTCCAAGATACTCCCCCCCCTTGTTTAAAACACCTTTCTTCTTCTTACGCGTGCCAGAGAATGTGACCCGGACAGGAACGTTCCTGCCTCGGTCCCCCCCGAGACACCACGAGACACGTCGCGCGGATAAAACAGCATTACTTTCCTAACTTCTTTGGGGATTTGAATCTCGGCTTAATTATAATCGCGAAATACATATCGACAACTCGTAAAGACAGTCAGCTCTGGATAAACGTCCGCAATTATCAAATATGGGCTGATAAGGTCTGCAGAAGGATGCGTATTTGTCGACCATCGATAACATCTCTCTCTCTCTCTCTCTCTCTCTGTGCTACTTCAAATTCTCCCAATTTCTAAAAATTGTCTTGACAATTTGGAACCACATTTTAAAAATAAAAATGCATCTCTATATTAATTTTACATCTATTAAAAATGTATTTCTATTTCTTCAAATTGCTATAATTAATGTAATATATTGAATATTAATAAAACAATATTATACTCGTTGAGTATACTCGTTGTATACTCAAAGATGAATAAATATACCCAAGTCTAATTATTATTAATTTATTCCAGTAGATCTAGTACATACACAAACGGTTTTTTTTTTCTTTTTAATAATATTCCATTCACTCCATCCGCTTTTCCTCACAAATCGCCTTTCAAATTTCATAGCTAAATTCTAAAATGATCTTGAAAATTTAGATATGCCAAAAGCAGTGATTTGGCGAGTTTGTTATAAAAACGGAAAATTAAATTAGTTCTGGTTTTTGAAACAGGATAGAAAAGACTGATCGATACGCGATACCACTTACTTAAGATCGTCGGAATCTTGTTGCGATTGCATTAGTCCACTTTACAGTAATGCATGGGGCACACGGATGTCTCACACAATTTACAAAAGTCTGATATACGTGAATTGTAATTACCGCGGATGGTTCTTTTTTATAAATACGATCATATGTACAGAGATATATCACCGATGTCATACGTGCATACATAGAGTAAAAGACAGTTCCTATATGTTTTCGAATGCCAAAATGCAATATCCCTTAATCTTAATACAATGATACAAAAGAAAGAAGATGCGCTCTCTCTCTCAGTAGGAGTCTCATTAGGAGAAAAACTGGCTTATTCTTTCTTAAGTAATAAAAAAAAAATACATTAAAAATTAAGAGAAAGTAAAAGAATCTACCTTAGGCGACCCTCATTTTTCCTTTCTTGTCATCAAAAGCTTACGCGAGATATTTCTTCAATATACTAACGATTAAATCAGAAACGAGGGAGTTATCAGGGAGGAAATCCGCATTATATCGGAATTCTACAACCCATGCATTACAAAAGTGCATCATGCAGTAAGAGTTTCTCAGCTACATTATCCGAATGTCAGTCTTGATGCGTAAAGTGATTGCCGTTGTTCACCGTGGCGAACGTATTCAATTCGAAATGAACCGCAGGCCTTAAAGTATCGTGGATGTTCTAAAAGTTTACCGCTCGCGCGTAACCTATTGTCGCAAATTTCGTGAATAAATTACAAGTGACAGATTATTTGAATCGGAGCACCTTAAGTGACGACATGGAGAAATTTGACATTATAAACTAAAAAGGTCTTAAATAGACTTAAGTAAATAATGTACTTGTTTTACTGCGTGCAATACATTAAGAGCTAAAAGGATGTAAATCAAATCCTTAAAAAAAAAAACTTAAGAAAATAATCCTATGTGTCGTTTCCTATCGAAGAACGCATGTATAAATACAGAGAATGTGAAATCTTGAATCTAGATGCCGAATGTACACGTAATAAATACAGAAGTAATGTAATTCGATTTGTAAAATATTACGTTTTCATCTGGAAATCTCTTCCATATCCTTTTTCTAGAAAAATTCAGCTAAAAACTGTAATTTACGAAAAATAATGTTACAGCGCAAACGATTCTCGTGAGACAGTTCAATTTGCGCTACTTTGAGTTCTTGTTTGAGCCACTGTGTTCCAACACTTAACATTCAGGCTGTAAAAAAAAAACAATATCCCGTTACACGAAGACTGTATCAAAGATTATAATAGAATAATTAACGATACTATTACAGACTGTGATTATTACCTTTTCTCTATCATTATTGTTTTAACACGAACCTGTAAAACCTTGCGGTGGTTGTCCCGGAACTGAGTATTGTGGTCTAAAATTCCCGAAATTAACAGCGCCCGCGAAACTAGCTGGCAATTGTCCTCCGGAGAAACCGGCCGGGAACTGCTGTGCCAATAACGCAGCCTGTCCAGTCTGAGAACTTGTACCACCGGGTGCCGTGGCTGCTAGACGACTCAATATTGACCTCTCCGACATCTGGAGTCTCTGAGCGACTGGTGGGATGCGGGCAAGAGTTGCTGGCAATCGACTCACGTCTGATTTCATATCAGACAACAACTCTTCCAATTGATTTAACACCTATAAAACAGATAATATATATACATTTAGATCCGACGTCCTCGCGTCAATGATTGGGAGGAATTTATTTACATATAACAATATATGGATTTAATTGAATCAACCTTATGTAACACCGCATTCGCCGGTTTATTTCCAGCAAGGCTCTCCTTGCTAAGATGCTGATGGGATTCGGCGAGACATTCAACCTCGGCGAATCGCGCATTAAGACTCATGGCAGGATGATTAGGATCCTGGGTGAGATTCAAGTAGGCAGCCCGTCTTAACTGTTCTTCAATCACTAAAGCTTGTTCCAAGAGCTTAAAACGTCTTGCCAAGAATTTATTCTTTATCTCCAAAAAGTTGCCTTTTCCCATATCCATCTTGAATGGTTCGTTGATAATTGCAAAACTGTAATAAGCATGGATAATTTAGTGTCAGTAGAAAGAAAAAGTTTGTGAATCATGATCATTAGCTTCACATTATGACCTTGAAATTGCAACTAGAGCCTTTATTCTGTAATCTCGAGTTACAGGGATAAATATCTTGCATCTAAACACACCGATATTTGCTGTAGTAAGAGTATTAAGCACTTGTGTGTGCAGTTCCAAGGTAATAATGTTATTATCAAGAACTAGTTGATAAAGAAAGCTTCCACTACCGAATATCATTTTGGATGTCTTGCCAGCGTCCATAACCATGCGTGACAATACCAGCCAAGAGCCAATAATCGTGTCTGCGATGCCAAATATCATATTCGCGGCCTGGTACTGCAGCCTTTTCTTCATTCAGCCAAAGCGTATGCAACTCCGTGAAACCACCATCGGCTATGTTAAACATGAATTTGCGTTTTGGCTTCATCACTTCTGGATCAGAGTCCTTGACATCCTTTTCTTTGTTATCCTTTTCCTAGAATTAGAAAGCGATGTAAATTAAGCTGACAAAACGCATTCTTGTACAATTTTATAGGAGTACGTACGTCTCGCTTCTCCGCTTCTTCTTCGTCATCTTTAACGATAACAACATCTTCTTCTGGTTCAGCTTTCTTATTCTCGCTATTCTCCACTTTATCATCATGCTTCGCTACAGCTTTCTCGTCCTTTATATCAGATTTATCCTTCTCCTTGTCTGCGGTCTCCATTTCAACGTCTTTCTCTTCCTTTTTAGAGTCCTCCTTCTCCTTGTCTTTCTCGGAACTCACTTCCTCGTCCTCTTTAGAACTCTTTGGATCTTCCTTTGAATCTTTCGCATCGCCAGTCTAAGATAATTATTTAATGGTATGTTATGAGAAATGATACTTAAAAATTCGCATTTTCGCGTTAAATAAATAAATACTTTTATAATAGAACTATTCAATACCAACCTCTTTATCCTTTGATTCATCCTTAATTTCTTTAACTTCAGATGAATCAGAATTCGCTTTATTAGTCTCGTTGTTCGTAGAGGTAGAAGTCGGAGTTGGTGTGGCAGCAGGACTAGGGCTAGGAGCATTTGAAGTAGCTGGGGTAGCACTAGTGCTACTAGTGCCAGTCGCTGCATCTCCAACTCCCTCTCCAACCTTGACGGGTTCTACTGGTTTGCGTATCATTTCCGGCATTGAATAATAGCCGTTGATGTGTTCAAATTCCTGTACCTGTGATACCATGCGTATTTTGTATTTTTTTTCAACTATTTTTTGTCGTTTATAACATCAGAATATTCGAAATAAAGAGATAGTAACTCAACATATATTTTAATGTAACCATTACCTTCTTCCTAATCAAGGACATGACGCCGATTCTAGTTAATACATGCTGTCGACTAAGACCTTCTCTTGGGACACCATCCGCGAATGTTTCCGCATTATCAGCGCCTGGTTCGCAGAGGTGTCGCATGAAGAGAGAAACGTAGGCTTTGAAATTCTTTTCGGACTTGCCACGCAGATCGCGCACCAACCTAAATAGTTAAATAAAAGAAACGCGTAAGTACATAATATAAAAAAGCAGCGATATATATCGTAATAATAATTTTGTAAGATGACTTACCATTGAGAGTTGAAAGCGTCTTGAGGTGGCATTCCATAACGCATAATTGCGTTGAGGAATGCTTTCCGTTGTCTGGCATTAAAACCTAGTACCTGTAAAAATGTAAGTATGCAAAAGTATTTAATAGTTACATACAATTCTTGTTTTGAATAAAAATTATTTTGCTGTAATACTTTACTGGATTTTAATTATTTTCAAGTTTAGTATTTGAAAATTTACACAAATAAAATGTATGTACGTATTACATAAATACCAACCTCAATATTTCCATTTACTCTGGCAAGTAGAGGTGGCAGAGGTCTATCTTTTTCATCACGTCTCTCCAGTCTTCGTCTGCTTCTGCGAGACAACAAGTCCCCGTCACCTTTTTCATCGAAATCATCGTCCTCCTTGTCATCGTCACTGGGCGCGCTAAAATCGCTATTATAATCCGACAGATTCTCCTGCCACGGCTGATCATCTCTTGCGCCTTGGTCGCCGGTTACACCTCCATCCGTGTAATTAACTTGTTTTCGTACTCGTTTGCCTATGATTAATTAAATATGCATGAAAATACGTGTATGATCTAGTATATTAATAGAATTTCGAACATAATACTTTAACATGTGAACAAACCTTTTCCAAGTGTTCTAGCGATATCTTCCTGTTGTTGCTCGTAATGATGTCTAAGCAATTTGATCCAATACGCCGGATCTGTATTTTCCGCTTCTTGTTTAATTATCTCTGTATCTGCTTCTTCCTCTGTTTCACCTTCCTTTGTTACGTATGAAGCAACCTTGAAGGAACTTAAGTACTCGTTAGCCCAGTTTTCCTTCTGCTCAATACCCTCCTTACTTCGGTCCAATAATTCGGCGACAGCTTTGTCGTCGTAATGTATAGCTTCGTCTTCCTTGCCCTCTTCTTCCTTGAACAATTCCTCCGTACCTGAAAATAAATTTCCCGCATTAAATTTATCGTAATTATACCAAGATAAATAATTGTTAGAAAAAAAATTATTTAGCAGTAATAATTTCAATAATTAGACTGTTTCACTAATAGCTCAGTGATTAATAGCATTAATCTATAAAACTTACCAAAACGTAAAATATCATCAAGCTCTTGTTTACTGAAGTTGGCGCCCTTGCCACCCATGCCTGGTCGCACAACCAAATGAGTGAGCATCATTTTACGCTTAGCTACTTGCGTTACCCTTTCTTCCACAGAATTACGGGTGACGAATCGGTAGATCATAACTTTGTTGGCCTGACCTATCCTATGAGCTCTGCTGAACGCTTGAATGTCGTTGTGTGGATTCCAATCGGAATCGTAAATAATCACAGTATCTGCCGTTGCTAAGTTAATACCTAAACCACCAGCACGCGTAGAAAGCAAGAAGACGAATTGTTGTGCACCTGTAAATAAATTTTTAGTTAAAAAAATAGACCATCTTTTTCTTTTCTGTATTTTATTATAATTACACATGATAGAATCAAGAATAAAAATATAGTTTATTTTTTAAATTCTCGTTTACATTTAAAAATAGGAAGAACATATAATCTTACTAAATAAAAATAATCAATATATGTCTATGGTTTAATCTTAAAAACACTTACCAGGAGCGTTAAATCTATCGATAGCTTCTTGACGCTGCGCACCCGTTATATTGCCGTCTATTCTTTCATATTTGTATCCCTCACCCTCCAAATAATCTTCGAGGATATCTAACATCTTGGTCATTTGAGAAAATATGAGAACTCGATGTCCGTCGTCTCGCAGTTTCTTGAGCATTTTACTCAACAGAACCAATTTTCCTGCTGCTTTAATTAAAGCTGATGTCTCATAACTTCCGTTTGGTCCAGTCGGTGCTTCTTGCGACGCAGCGGGGAACAAGTACGGGTGATTGCAGCATTTCTTGAGATCCATCATTATATTTAACAACGACACTTGCTGACCACCTCCTTTCGGATTGAGAGCTTCGAAGTTCCTCGTTAATATGTATTTGTAATATTTCTTCTGCATTGGCGATAATTCGACACGTACAATAAATTCAGACTTGCTAGGCATGTTCTGCAAAGAAATATGTTCGTTATAACACCAATGCGCTGATTAAAAAGCATAATTATATTTGAAGACATAAATATAAATCTTCTAATTACCAACCTTCAATACATCAGCTTTTAATCTCCTCAACATATGCGGACCAAGCATTTCGTGCAGCTTCTTAACTTGCTCTTCCTTTGAAATATCCGCAAATTCGTTTTGGAACGCTGCCAGATCGTTGAATTTGTCGCGACATAAGAAATTCAACAAGTGGAACAGTTCCTCCAAATTATTTTGTAATGGAGTACCAGTTAGCAAAAGTTTGTATGCAATATTGTAAGAAGCTAGTAATCTAAAGAATTTCGATTGATTAGACTTCAATCTGTGAGCTTCGTCTACGACTAAAACGGCCCAATCAATAGAGCCTAAACATGCCGAATCTATCGAGATAAGTTCATAACTTGTAAGTAAGACATTAAACTTAATCGAGGATGATCGGATTTTAGAGGCGCGTCCGCTACGCACGGCACCTTCTTCGAATGACAATTCGTTTTCACGAATCACAATACGGCTATCTTTGTCACCTGAATAAAAACAGAATATTTTATATTAATATATATTTTTTGAATGTATATTGAAAATTTTCATTAAAAAAGAAGCTGATACTAACCCACATAAGTAACACAATAAAAGTCAGGTGCCCAAGTCTCGAATTCACGTTCCCAATTGATGATGGTAGACAAGGGAACGGAGACCAAAAAGGGCCCTTTGCAATGGCCTTCTTTGTACAAAGAATATAAGAATGTTATAGTCTGAATGGTCTTTCCCAGACCCATCTCGTCGGCTAAAATCGTATCTATGCCTTGGCCCCATGAGTATCTCAACCAATTTAAACCCTATAAATTAAAAAATTGTAGAAATGTAATGTGAATATATATAAATCTGAATGTAGAAAATAGAATTTTAACATACTCGAAACTTACCTCTAACTGATAATGATGCAATTGCATTCCGGTCTGATCCAAATATTCCGGCTGTCTCTCATATTTCTTTTTGAGATCCGTCGTAGGTTTATCCGGCGGCGGCGTGTATCGTTTCGGAGTCCTCTCCTCGTCGTCAATCAACTCGCGTGTTTTCGATTTCTTGCCTTTACCTGAATTGCATTTAATTTCTTTTACAAGAGGCACAAGGTACCTTGAGTAAATAGCGAAACTGAATCGAACATCTCTCTCACCTTTTTTCCCTTTACGCGACGTACTAACATCACAACAGTTCGCGGCTCTGAGATCTAAGTAATATTCTATAGCCTGTTTCAAACCAGGGATATCCTCGTGTTCGTCTTCCCATGTCGCTTGATCGTAACCGAGTTCTCTCCACTTCACAAGATACGTGGCCCTGCCATCTCTTTGCAATCGATGATTAATCACCCTGTGAACCACCAGCCACTCTGGACGCACACCATAACGATAGAAACGTTCCTCCAAATTATAATCGTCTCTGTTGGTGGCACCGTCTTGCTCTTTCAAACGTTTCACACGAGAATCGCTTTCATCCAATGGTTCCTCCAACTTTGGTGGTTCATCCATATCATACTTACGATAATAATTCCTGTAATCACACGAAAATCATATACAATGTACAATACATATATACATATAAAACTATGCGAGTAATATTATTGCTGAAAAGATTTCTACCTGTACATAAGAGGATGAAAAACGTCAAGTTGCAGTTCTGTTATCCAATCGCAATGCCAGTAAGACATATCTGCCCACTTAACAAAGAATTCACGCATTTTCCTTTGCTTAGGTGCAGCCTTGCTTGTGGAAGGTTCCTCCGATGGAGTATCTGAGCACTCTTTCCATCTCCAGGTTAATATCTTTGCCACTAAAAAAGAAATTTAATTTCTAAGACAAACTACATATTTACGTGCATTCTTAGATGTTGTCTCTGTTTAATACCACACGATAAACAAATGCAGACAATATAAAATTACTGGATATCGTATTGATGACATACCTCTTCCTCTTAATGGTGGGCAAGAGCATCTAGGACACTTCCAATCGCCATCAGGAATCTCCGATAGAGGAGGATTTAGACAATGCGTGTGATACGCGCTTGTGCAACTGTCGCAGCACAGTAATTCTCCGCCATCCTTGCACACTCTACAGAATTCCATATGTTCATCGTCATCTTCCGCTGCGCCTAACATTACAAATATAATTACAGTTATCGCTCGCTGAACGATAAGCGGAGACTCGTTTTAGAGAGGAATAAGGAGAATCAGGTTGGTCTGGGAAGATATATGGGTACCTGCAATACCTTCTCCTTCGCAATGAGCACAACTCCATTTTCCTTCGGGTGTTTCCTCCATTTCGGGCTCTAAGCATACTAAATGGTATGCTCTGGGACATGTGTCGCACAATATAATCTCGCCGCCTTGTTGACATACTTCACAGTAATCCTGGTGGTCAGTCTATAGAAAGTAAACCAAAAAAAAATTGGAAAATAATTATTCCATTTTGATCGAGGTAGAACAATTTACATGATGATGAAAGGTATACCAATGAAATTGAGATATGATAATTAATATATCTTGAGCATATTTAAAGCATGTTGCATAAAATAATTATGCAGCTTTAAACATTGTAGAAAGAAGAAACTTTTATAATTATTTTAAGGCAGAGTCAGACAACTTAGCATATGCGTTCTTAAAGTTCTCAAAATATCCACTTTTATGTACGTAATATTTTTACCGCCAACCCTTGTATTTTGCACGTGTCAGAAACGCGTTGTTCTTTCTTAATTAAATCTAAAAATTTAGCCCATTTATTATTATCAACCAATTGCCAACAAGTCCTATGTTGAAAAGATTTACATATATTCAAATGGGAACTATAAAAAGGATTGTAGCTGTGATATTAACAAGCATAATGATTAGACATGCGTCGACTAGCAAATTATAAATAAATTTCCAAGCTTTTAGTATGAGAATAATTATGTGACAGTCCATGATCGCAAGCACGTTTAAAACAACAATGAACGCATAAGCAGATGCTGCTTAACTCTACCTGGAGACCTTCCTCTCCATCCGGGAACTTGGAAGTTGTTTTTGTCTTCTTCTTTTTCTTGGTTTTGTTGCCGATTTTGGTTTTCGCCTTTCTGCGAACCGGCGGCTCAGCTGGTGGTTCTACCCCACTCTCTTCTACGTTGCCTTTGTTACCCTCAGCACCAGGAGTTTCCTCCGCGTCAGCCAACATTTGCTCGAACTCCATATCCGAGTCCGCCGCAGAACCAGCAGCACTACCTTCCGCTTCCTCGTCCTAAATAATTTAATTTAATCGATTTGAATAAAAGTCGAGTCTGTGCAAAAATTGATTCAAATGGGGAAAAACGTTGCACATACCGAACTGCCTCTTTTACGTTTTCCAAGCTTGATCTTAAGCGTTGGTACTTTCGACGCCTTTTTCCCTTTCTTCGCTCTTGAACCTCGCGATTTTCTCTTTCTGTCGCTGTCCTCATCGTCTTCCTCCTCGTCTTCGGCTTCTTGTATAGCACCACTTCGATTTGTTCTAGCATTTCTACTGTCATCATCTACATTCGTGGATGAAACATCCGCGTCTGGCTGCGTATGTGGATTTAATTCGGAGAAATCGCGCCACTTGGCTGCCACCAACATCATAAGTTTTGACATTGGAACCTAATCATTTAAAAACAGAAATTATTTAAGAAAATTAATCAATAAACTATCGTATTACGTCGTAACCGATATAAATTCACATAAAAAGTACATACTTTTGGATTTTCTTTCGCCAAAAGCGGTCTGACGTGTTGTTGGAATAGCTTGTACGTCGTTAAGTTCTGGAAATCAGCGTCGGAATATTCAATTTGTACGTCTGTTAAGCCAAATGTATTGCACACTTCTTCAATCGTGGGCATGCCTGTCGTAGGTTCCTGGCTCTGAGTGGTTGGTGTATTATGGCTGGAGGATTTTCTAGACGATGATTTTCTGCTCTTTCTGTTGACCGCGTAGTCGCTATCCTCGCCAGCCGCGTCACCCGCTTCACCGCCACCACCGAAATCACTCTCCTGAAATTTCACGTAAAATTTTAAGTCGCACAAAGGTTCAATCCCAACTGAATTATACGAAGGCACCGATATAGTTTGCGTAACGAGCAAAGATATGCTATGCAGGAGCGTTTTCTTACATCCCCAGAATCAGATTTTTTCTTTTTCTTCTTTTTCTTCCCCTTTTTATCTTCGCTACGTGCTTTCCGCTTCTTTCCCTTCTTCTTCTTTCGCTCTTCTGGCTCGTAATCGTCATCTTCTTCCTACAAAGAATAATTCATATTTTGAACTTTTGAAGACCAAGTAGTAAAATATTCCAGATCACTATCGAGATATTGTCACAAAAATAAGAGATGGCAATATAGACAACACTTGTGAATATGAATTATAAGCAATGTTATCAAACAATGCTATGGAATATGTAACTTACTAGTCTTTGAGATTCCTCCGCATCAGATGACCCATCTACTTGCTGGCCAACAGTCGATATCTGCCCTCCAGTTTCTTCCATGTCATCCTCTCCTAAAAATGACATGTTTACTTTCAAACTTGTCATTGCAAAATATCTCTTCATCTTAATAACTAATATCGCTATTTTGTATCGTAGCTGTACAAAGAAACATCTTGTAAAGATAAAAGGAGTCCGTTAATCTGGTTTCTCTTCTAAGAACAGCAATTAAAATGGAATTGCGTAATAACTTCAATTTTTATTTTTCTAATTTCACTAATTTTGCAAAATTTCCTTCTCACACGAACACAATTCTTCTTTATACATCCTATACTTTCTATACCTTACAAATGACGATCCAAACTCTTCGGCCTATCCGTAAAGCTTATCAGTTAATCAAATAACAATCTAAGAACGAATTGAACAATACCGAGGTGAAACTCGATTAAATTCGACTCGACTTGTACTCCAATTTATCACCAAAAGGATCGCCGACTCGCGAAGGCACGCGACAACGGCCGGCCGAATCAATCGCGCTTCGCGACGCGGTGTGCGCGGCGTATCCTTTAATAATGTATACACGGCGAGCGCGGGCGAGAATCACGGAAAGGTATATCTCGACTTCTCGACGCGAAGGTGAGAGCGATAGGCGAACGGCGTGATCCACGATCGGCAGCGGTCAGCGGCGACGGCGACGGCGGCACCGGAAAGGGCTCACTTTCCTCGCGAGCGCGAAGGACGAATTTCGAACTTAATCAACGTTCCGCGAGTGCCTCATCGCGATTGTACATCCGCCATTTTCTTTAATAGGGCCATACGTACGCTACGTACATTTGACATACGAGCGCGCGTACGCCGAGCGCGCGCGCGCGCTCACGCACACACGCGACACGTGCGCACGTGTATGCGTGCGTGCGTGCGCGCGCGCGCGAACGTATATGCATTTACGCCACGCGCGATTTGCGCGCGCGGGCGCGCGCACGAATTTTTCACCGGCGTGTACAAGTTACAATTCCGCCGAAGGACGTGTGGGATCTAGGATCGCGAAATCCGTTCACTCGCGGGCGCGAGCCTCTGTCCGCTTCCGTCGGCCGTCGGCGGGTCGCGGTGGCGGAGGTTGGCGGAGGTTAGACGCCGGCTCTGGTTCGCGCGCGGGTGTGCGTGTCCACCTGCGTGCCCCGCATACACGACGCACACAACGACGCCGCTTTATGCATGTACACGAAACGCGGATCCATAACTCGGGCTTTTCTTTTTTCCTTCTTTCGCGCGGACGCGCGTTGTAACATGGCGCAAATGCAATTATGCCGACACGTCGATCGGGGACGGGGGATCCGTTCACCGCGGCCGCGACCGGGGAGAGACGTCGAACTCTCTTCTTCCACGCGAACGACGCCGTCCCCTCTCCCCCTCCCCCCGCTCCCGCTCCCGCCGTCGAACCTTGTTTCTCTCGCGAGGATTACGGAGATTGGACGGAGATAGGCGCGAAAGAGTCGGCCGTCGGTCATTACCGCGAGGTAACACGGGCCGCTCGTGCAACCATGTTAGATTTGCAAATCGACGACCATGGCTGCGTTCGATTTTTTTGCAACTCCCAATGTTCCGTGACTCATCTATGAATATTATAATTACGATTGCACAAGCGCGCCCGCGCGCGCACGACGACGAGCGGCTCGCCGACGCGCGATTAAAGCGTGGAAATCGAGCCACGGGCCGAAAGAAAGGCAGACCGAGATAAACGTTCGACCGGGGCTAAAGATGTAATTTAAGGTGCCGCGTATTGTTATGCCGTTTTTCTTTTTCGAAGAACTTTCCGAACCGGTGCACCCTAGTGCAATAAGTTTTAAAATGAGACAAATATATTTTGTTTCACTCTTACACATTACGTGAGAGTTCTTCGAAAAAGAACGGAGTAATTAAGAGATGCGTCCTCCTCCCTCCCACCCTTCTTTCCACCCAGCAAAATTGCACGTCCTATTCTTTCTTCGACGAAAGAGGAATGCGCTGACGAAAGTAAACACGAGAGCGATTTGATCGACGTAAGTACACAGAGAGAAAGAGACGGAACGCGAACCATGTGCACGCTCTCCTCTCGATGTCACTTTTCCCACCGTTCGTAGAGGGTAACCTAACTCTACTTCTGCCTGACACGCGTACCCTATGCTACGTAACCCATGGAGTCGGTTGAAGATACCTATTTCTCCTCGCCCAAGAACTTAAAAATAAGAAAAAAGAAACTGACAAGCGCGACAGAAAGACTTCTGGACATTTCTATCAACGCAGGTTAATTTTAATCTCGATTTCAATTTAATGGTTTAATCTTAACTTTAAATCCAATGGTTTTTAACTTACCTCTTATCTTCTAATTCTTAGAACTAGAAGATAAAAAGCAAGGCAAGGTGATCTACCGGCGCTGGTCGCCGAGCGCGTTCAACAGTCGGCGAAGGTTAGGAAACGCTCCCCCGGGAAACCGGCGGCGGCGGCGGCGGCGGAGGCGGCGTGGCGTCGCCGTAGTAGTAGTCTTCGGCAGCGGCGACACGAACTGACACGAACCGCCGCGATTCGCGATTGACACGGCAGCCATTGATGGATCAAAAAGCGCGCGTCCCGCGTTGCAATGCACACCAATGCACACCGGATAACTCGGGCGATTGCCCCGGTGCCGCGGTGCCCTTGTCTCTTTCTCTCTCTGCCTCTCTCTCTCTCTTTCTCCTTCATTCTCGCTTCGTACTCGCTCTTTCTCTCGCGCACTCACCTGCGTAATTCTCGTCCACCTCCTCGTCCGACGCCATTCTCCAGCGGGTCCGCTTCTCGGCGCCGAGGACGATGACAGCGAGAACACAAGCACGACAATCACGGAATCACGATCACGACACAACGGCGACGACGAGAGGACGCCTCGCGCGCGGTGCTCGCGTTCCCGCGACGGCGACCAGCGACGCGCTTGTCCTCCTCCTCCTCCTACTCCTCCTCCGTCTGGTCACCCTTCACTTCACCTGTTTCTCACGATCGCGCGGAAACGCCGCGGAAGTTCGACATCAACAACCGTCGCGGCGACGACGCTCTCTCGCTCCGTGCTCCGTGCGGCCTGGCCTCTCGTCGGACGTCGTGTGCCGTCAACTGCCGTCAACTGCCGTCGCTCTCGTGTGTGGCTCGTGGTCCGCTCGGTATATACCCTCGCGCACTCGTACATACACGTATGTGTACGACTACACAACGACGAACGCTACCTCGCCGCCGCTACGCTACCGTTTCGCCACCGTCGCGCGATTCGTCCTTTCCCCTCGTCCCGCTGCCGGTCCCCACGTCCCGCCGGCCGCCGTTCACCACTCGACGATGCGCGAGCCGCGAAGGCGCGAAGCTTCTCCTCCTTTCTCCTTCTTCTCCCCTTCCTTCCCCGCGCGTCGAGGAACTCGTGAATTCGCACGCGAGCGTCCCTCCACGACAAAGCACGGTTTCTCTTCTGTCCTTTACTCCTTTCCCCTCCTCCACCCCCCGCTCCCTACTCTTCTTTCTCTTCTGTTCGTGTGCCTGCACTTTTTGCACTCGGAATCTTCGCTCTCTCTTTCTCCAACGCCCAATTGTATGTGTTTATCTCGTTTCAAGGTGTAGAAATTTCTGGGAATTTCAAGCAACGCGAACAAATCTACGTTGGCAGCATCGTCCGTTTCGCAGCGCTAACCTAACCTCCAAAGCCCCGAGCGCGACTGTGGCATCCCCGACCGACAGAGGACGCGACCGAGCGTTTCGTCAGCATTCGGCGCATTGCATTCACGAGGACCTTTCGCCGAGGGTTACGGACAAATTTTCGTAAAATGGTAAACAAGTCGGATTACTAACTAAACCGGCGCCTCCCGGTGACTCGATTCTACGGCCGGGACGCCGTGCCCGCGTCGTTCGACGGTCGTGCGCGATTTCACGATCCCGTTCGCGTGAACCGGTGTTTTTGCATTCGACGTTAAGGTTATCTCTTCCCCGCGAGCTCCCGGTCGCACGATTACGAGATGTTGCGCGATCGTCGAAACGACTCGCGAAATTTCCTTTGCTCGCAAAAACGCATCAACTCCATTCATGGTTATTTAACAAATCATATCAACGGTGAGACGTATGTCCTGCGACGCACGTTTCCCCCGTGAAATTTATCCTTCAGTATGATTATCGAGTAACGTTAACGGAAGCAAAAGATTCGCGTGTGCTCGATTGTCAGTAAAATTGCACGGATGACAATCGTCGGTCCAAAGCGAGGATTGTAAATGATGTTGCAACAGTTGCAGAACGTCGCATCATGCAGAGCGAACTTGAAAGGAGCCGCGAGATTGGTGAGATCCACGAGGAGCCTGAGAGATGGCTCGAGGGACCGCGTGCTGTCGCCTACGCTTCCACCGACGTCGACGGAGCTGCTCGATACACAAATGCAGTCGGTAAGTTCCTTGCCACGGAGAGATAAGTAACGCCCAATGATAAGCAACGACGCTTTTGCAGTTTCGAATGTATTCAAATCCGGCACGGCGGCCGAGCTTTCTCTCTCAGTTTGTCGAGAACATCAAGCAGGAGATGCAGAAGAACAAGGAGATGAAAGAGTCGTTGAAAAAGTTCAGAGAGGAAGCTCAGAAACTGGAGCAATCAGAAGCGTTGCAGACGGCGCGACAAAAGTTCCAAGCTGTCGAATCCGAGGCCAGTAAAAGTTCGGAAGTGATTAAAGAAAAACTGGACACGATTAAAGGAAAGGTATACGTATATGTGCAATGTCAATTTGTACGGTGATAGTGTAAAGCATGTATGATTAATACAAGTTTCTGTTTAAAAGGTGCAAGAAGTTATCGAGGAGGCGAGTAAGAGTGAATTAGGCAAACGCGCCGGCCAGTTAGGCGAAGAGATCACGAAATCGGCCAAAGGTGCGGCAGAGACGATCACGGAAAAGAGCCAAGCGCTCGGTAAGACGGGTGCATTTCAAACGATATCGCACACCGCAGAGGCCGTAAGGAATGAACTTGACCAACATGGAATTCTAGGTAGATAGATTTGGCTGAATAGACAAGAGAGTTGAAAGCAGGTTAAATTTCATTATTGCTTGATGCAGGCAAAGTTTACGTTGCCCCTAAAAAGCTAAGAAAGAGGAACGAAGTGCCAATAGAGCCTAAAGAAATTATGCCTGATCAGAAAACGACAGGCGTGGAAGTGCACAGGGACTACATGTTTTCCAATGCTTGGCAAAATTTTAAGGTACCTATCGCACAGTGTCTCGTAGATTTTACGCAAATGTGTAAGCGGTATTCAATGGACATTAATAAATTCCTTTATTTAACGTATCGGATGTTTTTTTAAAGGACAATAATCCATACGTGAATAAGGTAATGGACTGGAAGATGAAATACGACGAGTCAGATAATGCCGTACTACGCGCTTCCAGATTGCTTACGGATAAGGTTTCGGACATTATAGGCGGGCTGTTTCAAAAGACCGAGCTGTCGGAGACGCTTACAGAGATCTGTAACCTGGACCCCACTTTTAGTAAAATACAATTCTTGAAGGACTGCGAGACCGACTTTATCCCGAATATCCTTGAGGCGATGGTCAGAGGCGACCTCGAGATTCTGAAGGACTGGTGTCACGAGGGACCTTACAACATAATTGCGCAACCGCACAAGGAAGTGAAGAAGTTAGGCCACTATTCGGATAGTAAAATTCTAGGTATGTACATATAATTCGTTAATTTATACGCGATGCTGTCTCGAAATCGTAAAAGGTAAAGAAAGAAATATCGATTGCAGATATCGACAATGTGGATCTGGTGATGGGTAAGGTGATGGAACAGGGACCAGTTTTAATAATTAGCTTTCAATCTCAGCAAATCATGTGCGTGAGAAACTCGAAGCACGAGGTGATCGAGGGAGATCCCCAGAAAGTGATGCGGGTCAATTACGTCTGGGTACTGTGTCGCGATCGAACGGAACTCAATCCCAAGGCCGCGTGGCGTTTGCTCGATCTTAGTGCCACCAGTTCGGAGCAGCTGGTATAGTGTGTGAACGAACGGAAACAAATTGAACTACTCGAACGTTTACGCGGTCAAGTGGAGTCGTCGCGCAGTGGTGTCATCCGTGTACATTGTCGTTATCATTCACACTACGAATAAGTAACCGAACGTGACGAGGATTTCCTTAACGATCGTGTTAAACGATCACCGATCTAGCGTACATAGTGCACAGAGTATTTCCTGTAAATCGGAATGTTTATGTATGTATACAAAATTTTAGCAACTCAGTATCTGTAAATTTTTATTGTACGTGATGTAAGTACATACACGTTGCTAAGTTATCACTTACAAAATAATATATTTATAAATGCATCGAAATCAATTGTCCGATACATGATTTACGATTACGTATAGCTTGCTATTATTTAAAAAGTAGGTCATAAAATAATAATTCTTTTATCGTGCGCATAACCGAAGTATCGAGTAATATTTGATTGTATTTATCGATTATTGTTATACACTTTTCGTTTAACAAAATTATCATGCTATCTTATATAGAATTTTGAAACAGAACGTTGAATAATAGAAATTATATTGCAGATTGTTAAAATTAACATATTAATTTTCGTACGATATTTATATTGTCGATTATATAACAAGAACGAGCCAATTTTTGCATTGACAGTAAACGGAGAAGGAAGAAGATTGTGTTCTATTGACGAGACGATTATAGAATCATACTTTTTAAATGCTAAAATCAATAACGTAAAGAATAATTACAGATATTAAAGATTCTCAAAACTAAAAATATTCTCATCATATTCAAAATATATTTTAATTATGTGTATTATTACCACGAGAGCCGATGCATATATCTAATATGTTGGAATTGGTTGGAAGTATATTCAGATACATTTATATATATATATATGAATGTACATATGTATACATGCACAAGCTGATATTAACGAATAATTATAGTGTACAATTGATTAAATTATAAAGAGAACTGTTGATTATTTTTTAAAGACTATATTATACGAGTTTTAAGCTTAGATCGGTTTGGATCGAAACGGAATAAAATGATGAATAAGCAAACGGTTATAGTATTATTTTTCTATTTAAGATAAAAACCATCATATCGTATATAGGCAAGCGAAATACTAGTATTATTAAAGATGATAAAAATCTAAGCTACCTTTTTTTATTCTTCCATAACGTTATACTGTGTTGTAATCTTTATATAAATGTACAGGACGAGTTATAATATTACACAATTTTGAAGCAAAATATTCTGATCAACGTGTCACGTTCATGTTCGCTTCGACCTGAGTTTACTCGCAAACGCAGGACTCTGCGGATCGGTCAGCTGTTTCGTCGCTTTAGCAATTATCGGCGCTTTGTACGCCGGCATCGGTCTGGCTTTTACTTCCGTTAGCTTGCGCAGCTTTGCCTTCATCTCTTTCTCAGATTCGAGCCTCTTCTTTTCTGCTTCCTGACGCTTTGCCTCCTCCTCCATTTCCTTGCGCCTCATCTTCTCGTCAAACTCGGATCGTTCTCTCGCCCGCTTATCAGTGTTCAATTTCGGCGGATAAGCTTTTAACGGTGCTTTCTGTGCTTTATCAACAGTGCAAACGGAGTTCGTCGACTTTGGAATATGCTCTTTCTTCACCTTGGATTCAACATTCGGCTCTTTGTTTTCCTGATCTTCCGCCTGTTCGCTTACCGTACTCTTCTCCCTCGCTAAAAGATGCTCTTTCGATCTACCGCGGACCATTACGGGTTTGAAGACCGGTGCCGGATTCGCGCGGAACACACGTGCCCGCTTATCCTCTTCGAGCATCTGTTTCACCAACTGCTCCTTTCTTTCAAATACTTTCCTGTCCCGATCATCAAAGCTGAATGGACACGGTAAGATGGATTTTTTTGTATTCTGCTGCTGCTGCTGTTTGCCCACAGGCGTCGGTGGCTTTGAGAAATTTGGCACTGGTCTGGCATGGAATTCTGTCTTCGTATTGTTGGCCTCTTGCAAACTTTTCAGCCGTTGTTCCTTTTTCATCTGCAGATCCTTGTTGCGCGCCTCGAAGCTGAACGGCATAATGCGCGTCGCGTTCTTCACGACACTGGTGTCTTTTGGAACACCAAAGAACGTTATCTCCTCACGTTCTACAGTGATACCCGAGGGATCAGTTACCACCTTCGTGACCATGTTCTTCGGACCGGATGAAACTTTATCGCGATGTGGCTGCGGACTTTTGGATTTATGCACGTTTGTGGCACAAGCTTTCTCATTGGATTGTGTAGAATTACGCACGGCTGCCGTAGACTTCTTTGCGACGGTTTTTGTTACCATTCGTGATTTTCGCAATACGCTAGGCGGTATTGGATTAGCCTTTATTTGATATTTCTTCATCTCCTCAATTTCCAATTCCTCGCGCTCTTCTCGGCTCAGCACGGTAACAGGACGCGTTCTGGTTTTCGACATGAGCGCCGGCGAAATCGGTATCGTCGTTTTCAGACGGTTCTGCGTCAGCTTTGACATATTAACCGACATACTCACGTTCGGCTTACTGCTTCTGGTGCGGAAACGTTCGGGAGTCTCAGTTTGGAAGCGCGACACCGCCTCCGCTAGACTGATGTATTTCCTGTTAGCTGGCACGCAGCGTTTCGGCTTCGTCTTCAAGCTTCGTCTATAATGCTGCCAGGTAATAATCATTTGGCTATCCAAAGGCGGTGTTCGAATACCATTCTCGATCGCAGCGTCCACATCGTCTTGACTGTCCTCTTCCTTGGCTTCCTTATTGTCGTCCGTTAATTCTTCTGATTTATTCTCAATTCTTAATTCTTGCAACTCTTCGTCATTTTCATTGCATTCCTCATCGTCTGTCCCGTTAAATTTCTCATTATCTTCTTTGTGCTCTTCGTTATTTTTCTCATTACATTCCTCATCGTCTTCCTCGTTTTGTTTTTCTTTCTTAAGTTTGGTGTCATCTACTAGATCGTTTGGTCTCTTGGAAGCATCGTCCTCAGTGTGATTTTCATCTTGCTTCAACAGGGCATGACTAACCGACATTTCCTTCGTACTTGCAGATGTGTCGTTGATTTGCATGCAGATACTTTTGTTAACTTTCGTGGATTTTCTCAGGGAATCTTGGCCAGATGGAACGTATTTATTCTTTACGCTGCGACAGCCGACAGATCTGGACGATTTAACGAGTTTAGACTTATTCGGCGTTTTGAAAGTATTCGACTCGTGGGTGGTTTTGTTCAGTGCTTCTCGAATTTTAGGTGGTTTCTTACAGAGCTCCAATTTCCTCATCGCATCACTCAGCACTTGGTCGTAAGTGGTCTCTCCTATTACCTCCTTATTATTACGATTTTTCGGAGAGATCACTTTGATAGGAGTACTCTTTATAATATCCAAGTCTGCCTGTGCCTTTGTGCTAGCGCACGTAACGTCCAACTGAGACATGGGCTGAGCGTTCTTTGTATTGTCGGAAGAATCGCAGAGATCCTCCATACGTTCGTGTACCATATGCTCTTTATCGAAGAAATCATGAATTCGTGCCGGACTGGAAGTCTCGTTAAAATCTACCCACTGTGGTGCGTGTAGGTCACAAAAATCTGTCATGATGTCAATCTGCAAGATGTATAGCGTGCACGAAATATATACTGTTTCAAGTCATAAAGAGAAAAACAATCGCTGTGATATGTCAAAATGCCATCCAACAGTAGCTCATAATAATCTGCAACATAAAAATTTGAAATCTTTAATATCCCAGAAACGTATCTAGCATTGAGAGACTAACAATCTACAGTTAAATATATAATTTATAAACTTTCAATTCTAAATTATAGTCATCTTTGTAGTTTAATTATTCCCAAGCTACGATGACTGATATGGCACGTCAACAAGTAAACACAAGTGGAATGTATTAGTGAAGCACAATTATACGTATCAAAGCACAAGAACTGGATAACCATTTCGAAACATGTGTTTCAATCTTAACGATTATATATGTGAAGTTTCAAATCTCTTTACCAATTTAAGAAGCACAATACCAATCCTTGCACTTACAAAGATAAGTGACGTCGAATGCTACTTTTTTATCAGATAAAGCTACGGTCAACGTGATGCTTCAAAGCATTTGTAGCGTCACGTTGACTGTAGCCTAAGGCTGCGTTTGGAAACATCACCCAGGTATACATGGGTATACTCCCTTCTCCTAACTCGCTGAGATAGAAAGAGAATGGAGTATACTCGTATACACTCGGATGACGTTTCCCAACGCAGCCCAACAGATATTGTTTCGACTCAATCTTCAGTGCTGAATCTGAGAAACTCCCGATATGAGAGAGTCTGAAATCTTATGCAACGTGACATGATTTATTTGTTTCTATAAATTATAGAAATGATATTGTTTTAACAGAGAAATATTTATCAATATCCGCAGCTATAAATAGCTTTCTGTATTATCACCGTCAGATTCAACACCGTCCTTGCGGAATCAAAATAAAGGCCGGTGAGACGTACTTACGTGTAGCTACCACGTTGTATTTACGTTTGTTATTCACGTGTCTCTCGTCACACAAACTGCTCGTCGACGACTCGTGTGCTCCACAAGTTCGTTCTCCCTGCGATCTCCCGTATCTTCGACGACTACAGCTCGCGAGCTCGACACTCGATTGATCAGATATCCTCGAAGGCGGGACAGAGCGAAATGTCAGCAAACGTTCCGCGAGCCAACGATGGAAACGCGTACGTTGCACGCGTTCAAGTTCGAATCGCTCGGTGCCTCGTCCGGATTGGTCGCGTTGTTGCTAGCCGAAGTTTCACGCATGCGCATCAAACGCGACGTGTAACTAGAGTAAAAAAAAAAAAAACTTTCTTTGAATACGCTAGCCTTTTTCCGACCGCTTTTCTGAAAATTACGTGATTTACCTGCATATTTCAGTATTGAATAATTTTTGTTTTCTTCGCTGTGCCGAGATTTTCGCGGCCGCAATATTTCGCACTGGCGTTGTGTTGCTCGTTATCGCAATGCGCATGCGCGACAAACCCGCCAAATCGTAAATCATCACGATTGGCTGTTGAATTGGCACGCGTTTTCATGAAGGCAAACCTTAAATCCGAAAAATTCCTACGTCGATACATGCCTGTGACGAATTCCCGCCAAAATGGAATTTCAAAATCTTCAATTTTCATAGAATCGTTTAAAACAATTAGCAGCAGTAAATCATTGTATATAACAATTATAAAAATAAATTAATTGCACCAAAATCGTGAATATTATATTACGTATAATTTTATCGCTAACTTTCTTCAATATCATTAAGAAAATTTTAAGTTATTACTAATAAAAATTGTGGTTATTTTATGAAAAAATATAATTTATTTGATAAATATTTCTTATCATTGGTTTAGAAATATTATGCCTATAATTATACGGAGATATTATAATTTTTCCTATTATTCCTTTGGACAGTGCAAAAAAGTTTCGTTTTTTTTTATTCCTCGGCCAATTGCACCAACAGTCCACTTCGTTAATTTTAGCCAAAACTTCTCTTAATCAATAGCCTCTATAACTTATAAATTCATTGCTAAAATTAAATAATTATTACAGTTTGCTACATTAAACACAATCTTAATAAGAATCTCTAAGTACAAGAAAAAAAGAAAAGATGAAATTAACTAAATATTCAAACAGTCGTATTTTGACTGATGACACAATTGGCCATATCTTCTCGCTTCAGTACATCTATCATGTTTCATGAAAATTACTCCAACTCCAGGAACTCCTCTTTCTCCTGCTTCAATTCCTTCACGGCACTCTCCAAGGCGAACAGATGCTCGTCTTGCACGCCAGGTGCTATCGTGCGCATCGCGGACGCCAGTTTATAGAGATATTCTACATTGGAGCCGCTGACGCCGCGCGAGACAATTATGTTCCTCGCGATGGTATCTATGCTCTCCATACCGGCGAAATTTGGATTATCTTCTTCACCTATGTAGATAGTGAGGTAGAACGGAGCTTCGTCCGAAGCGGTCGACAGCGAGGCCGTCGAGAAGCTCGTTCTCGAAAGATTGTTCAAAACCACATTGGCATTCGAGCCGGATTTTGAGAAGTCGCAGGGATAGAAGAGGACGGTTTTCTTTATGTAGCCACCCTTCTCTCGGAAATCCAAATGGTTCACCACGTTCTCTATGTTCTCGGAGGATATCTTGTAAGCGAGCCCCCATACCTCGTCGTCGGGATTGGTAGAGGCGAGCAACGTAACCACGCGTCCAGGCTGCAACAAGATGGAAATGCAGTTGAAGAGCTAAATTAATGGGAGTGGGAATCAAACGTTCTCTTCTCGAGGCAACGACGTGTTTCAAAGAGATACAAGATACAACTGTACAAACGAAAGAGATAAGCTACTGCAGCTATCAATATGCTGATCAAAGTCGCCTCGAGACGAACCCTCTTCCCAGCAGATACCACCCACCCTGTTGGGCACGCCTCTGTGGTCGGTACTCTTCTGATAGAACCGCCTGATATATCCCTTGATGTGACCGACGATCTTCTTCTCGTATGGAAAATCCGCTTTCCATATCAAGGAACCATAACCAAACACCCACATGCTCGCTCGCTTCGCCGACGCGTTCGCCGAAAGATTTCTTTTTACCGTCGACGACGACGATGATCACGTCGTGCGCCAATATAGATCTTGCCTGATCCCTCGGGTGACGAGCTTGTCTTTCAATGCCGCGACATAATTTGCAGGAGTATCCACTACGAAATTATGCTCCATGTTACATCCAGCGCGTCCGTTATGCCACGCGAATATAACCTCTTTATCGGTCCCGAATGCACGTAAAAACAATCGGGAAAAGAAATCACACGAGCCGCACGAGATCATGTATTTGAGAGATAAACAAAGAACTGGATGTGTCAAAAAAACCGAAAAAAAATTAAAAAAAATACTCAGTTCGGCACGTTAATTAAATAAATACCAATGTAAGAGAAAAATCGAATACACGTGAGTGACACGTGACAAAGATACGAAATGCGAATCAGTGGATGTCGAGAGGAGATCAGCGTGGAAGACACTTCGACGCATCATTTATGACAAAATAATGTAATTTCTTGTACGCAAAATGATGTCGTTATTATTACGCACGGACGTCCTCGCGATTCAATGCGTGGAAAATCACGTGCTTGTAGGTTAGTTAAGATTAATGAAATTACAATAATTATTTATAGTTTGTGTAATATTAATATTATTTCAATTATCTCTGAATTCTATAAGTTATTACTAGAATTCTATAATATTACAGAAAAATCTTGTCAGATATTAACAGAATTTGTTGAGGATTAATGATGCTTGGAATGCACAAAGCAAATCTGATGAAATTAAAATTAATTATAAATTTTTAAAACTTCATATATAAAATGTCTATTAATTGTCGTAGGTATGGGATCCATGCTTTACTTATACAAGGATGGCAAATTTGAGCGTAAATTGGATTGTCTGTATCCGAGTAATATACATGGGATTGTAGTAGGGGTAAATAATGAATTGGCTGTATTTGGCGCCAAGTCTATATGTGTCTGCAATATTGTCGAAATAGTGGACGATGTAAGGTATATAATTATTTTCAATTATGACCGAAATATAGTAATAAAATTTTATGTGATATCTCAAAACTAAATACCAGTGTGTTGTATAAAAGTAAGAAAAATTGTTATACGAACATAGATCTGTAGGGGCTATGGATCTGTGTTTATAAAATATTTCTTCTTATTTTTACTCACAGAGTATATTAACATAGTTTGATTTCAAGTTAAAACTTAATTGAAATATTCTGTATATGATCTACAATAATATGTTTTTTTTTGTGTGTTTGTAGCATTAGTAAACAAAGTACTCACCAATTCAATGATTGGATAATTGCCGTAAAGTGGATATCGTTCAAGGAACAAATGCAATTGGCAATTTTATTCGCTCATAATTATGTATCCATATATGACGTACTTAATAAAACTTCTCAAGTTATACGTTGTGAAGAAACGTGCATACTGTATCCTTTCATGACTTTCATTAATTAACTTGTTACAGAGAGAATTGATGTGATAATTTTCTTAATTAATACTTAGCTATGGCGGTTCTGTATCAGAAACTTGTCAAGAGAATTTAATCATTTTTAGTGGAACGGTGTTCCAAGAAATTTTAATATGGAAAATAGACAATAAATCTTGTGACACGAATAAAAGTATGCCAGTTTTGCATCGTTTAACAGGACATAAGGTTTGGCAATCACATTTAGAAGGAAGGAAAAGATTTTTAAATGAAATTCTTAACTTGCAAATTTATTCTAGGGTGTTATTTTCTCTGTCATTTGTGATCCGTACTCGCGATTTATTTGTTCCACGTCAGACGACAGAAGTGTCAGATTCTGGAGAGTAACGGAACATGAAAATTCCAGGAGCAATAACGTAAATTGGCAGACAGTAAAGATAGTACCGATAAAAACAATGTTCGTACATACGGCAAGAGTTTGGAAAGCTTTAATTAGAAATGAAGTTGTTTTGACGATAGGAGAAGTGAGATTAAAATTACATATGGAAGTTACAATTTATTTTTATGTATATATTTATAAAAATTTTCTGCTGTTTCAGGATTCACTTGTATGCACATGGTCGCTCTCGGGTGATTTACTTAATAAAACCTACTACAAAGCACCTATATGGAGCATTGATGTATCTGAAGACTATACAACGGTATATGTGGGCGGAGGTGATGGATCTGTATACATGCAACCTTTAGAAAACTACAAAAGCCCAGAGACAATTTCTCTATCTAGCAATGATACACATAACTTTCCGAAATATATTTCCTATTTGCATGATGGCGCAATTGTGGTCTTTACTGAATTAGGAACACTACTACATTACAACAAAGAAATGATGCATAAAAATACTATAGACTTGACGAAAGATCGCTATTATATTATGCAAGTTTCTCCAGATCGCAAATTGGTTGCCCTTGCATCTAGAGATGGATACATAGTAATATATGAAGGTAGGAACGTTTATTAGAATAAAAATCTTAATACTAACGTGAAAAGATATCTGTTATAGATATATTATCCTTTTTCATTCAAGTTCTTAATGAAATCAATTAATTTATAATATATTTTTAGACTTTTTTGGGACTTTACTGCAGCGTATGGAAAGCAAAATAATGAATTCACAAATCTTTTCTTTGCAATGGTTGAGCAATAATAAATTGATAGCATGTGGAGCAAATGGTCTTCTGAAATTATCTCGATTTATAAAGAATGGTATAATCACTTATGCAACTATGTCATAATGTGTTATCGAACATATTTAACATTAGGATTTTACAGATAAATATGATAATAAAGTAATAGCAGAATGCATATTACCACCCAGTAGAGAACGTTGGTTGACTGCAGCATCTATAATTCATACTCCTACATCGATGTTAATATGTGGAGACAGAGCTGGAAATATTTATGTATACAAGCTGGAATATAAAAGTTTTCATTCTGATGCAGTTATTGAAAAACCTATTCAAACATTTAATAAAATTCATGGTAAAATGGGAGTCCAGTCATTTTGTATATTTAGAGAAAAATTAATAACATCTGGACGCGATGGGATGTTGAGATTTTATCAAATACGTGCAGAGGACACAAAGCCTTTATTGATGCTGTATAAACAAAAAATGCCAATGGACTGGATTAGTGGCATGTTAAAAGTGAATAGAGACAAATTAAACGAAATACAAAAGGACGAGATTTTTTTTATATTTGGTTTTAGACAGGTAAATTGAATTTATATATTTATATATATATATAGATAAAATAGAAGAAATCTGTTTTGATAATAGTTATTATAATAATATTTTTAGGTGGAATTTATAATATACGATTTGTTGAATGAAAACGTAGTCGTCAGAATTCCTTGTGGTGGCGGTCATAGATCGTGGGACTGTATAATATCGCATACAAAAGCAAGTTTTGCTTACATAAAAGATAAACAAGTTCATGTACATGATTTATCTTATTCTCTTTTTCCTTCATGTCCTATTTTACAGGTATGTAACATTAATCTATTTAATCTGTTAAAAAGTACACAACCGTGTCTCTCCACATCAGTTTTCTTTTTTTGTAATCTAGAATGGTTTTCACACAAAAGAGATACGTTGCTTGCGATATGTACGATGGTGCGATGGTAATTTTTTCATATCCGGTGGTGAAGACTGCACTCTTCGTATCAGCGATGTTTCTGAATACGAACTTAAGCGGAATGCTTTCAAAAATGTGGGAATTTTCAATGGTCATCTGTCGGGCATAAAATGCATAAGCGTTATTCAGCTGTACGAATCTACGTTTCGATATCTAGCCTTTTCTGGTGGAGGGAGAGCACAGTTGAAGATTTGGGGAATAAACATCGCAGAAGGATCAATATATCATCATCAAGATCATGGAAGAGAAATAAACGTATCGTGTTCCGATGTAAATTCTCATATGCTGTATGGACAAAATCAATTTTCTAAAAAACCATGGCAGGAAGCTAAGCAATCCTGTATCGCAGAACCAGAAACACGTTATATGGATATTTATGCTTATTACTGTCACTTTGAGAGAAATCACGTATTAATCTTTATAGCTTGTGCAGATGGATATTTAAGGTAATATATTTGTGTTTATTTCATCAAGCGCGCTATGTGCTTAAAAGAGTTATGAAATAATACTATTTTTTCTCTCTCTCTTTATTCTTACAGACTACTTGTATATGATATTGTTTCTAACAATATATATTTGAAAGTATCCACCAAATACATAGATCGTTGCATTTTGAAAATGCATGTATTGTCACACGAATCCAAAGTAATTGTGTTAACCATGAGCACGGACGGAAAGTTACGTTTTTTCGATTTTACCGACGTGGTCTCGAAAATATATGAGGATGCAAATTCTGGAAACCAGAACATTATAAACTTCAACGATATTCCTTTCGCAGAATTTAGCCTGCATCAGTCGGGAATTAATTGTTTTCATTTCAAGCACATGCATGAAGATGAATATCTTTTGATTACGGGTGGCGATGACAATCTCCTCAGTGTCGTCTATTTTCAAATTTGCATATCCGAAAGTAATAAATTGTCGACTGAAATATTATCTAAATGGAGCACAGCGTCCGCGCATTCCGCACAAATCGTTGGTCAGTTAATGCTTATATGATCTTTTTTTAAGCTAATTGTATGTATATTGCATGTTGCGCAAGCCTTAGAACTTAAAAAAGTGTTCGATACCAACAGGTGTGAGATTTAAAGATGAGAAAATATATAGCGTGGGAATAGACCAACTATTTATTACCCACAAATACGTGTATTCCAATGGAGTCATATGTGTAGATATCTTAAATCAAGTATTTACGTCTGTTACGGATGTGCAAGGCATGGAGTTGTATTCTGAGACGTAAGTTTAAAAATCTGTCAGATAATATTATTATGTCCTCTTGCTTCACTGTTCTTACAAATGTGAATATTTTAACAGGGACGGTGATCATGTTTGTATATATGGACGAGGATTTGAAATACTGTCCGTTTGAAAGCGAAAGCAGGCGAAAGTCGTTATTCGTTTAACAATGAGATTTTTTTCTATGAAAATATCGTATATATATAGAATGGCATATTTGTATTGAATTATTATACATTTAAATGTGCAACAATAAGAACAATCGATTGTTCTGCATCTTTTTATTTAACTAGGTATTATTTTTTATAACAAAATGTGCGAAGTACGCTTAAACAAAATACAAAACTTCTAAAACAATAAACTTTAATTGTACAAATATGTAAGTAAAATGCAAATTTGCGTTATCTGTAAAATAAATAAAATTATCTAGTTTTTCAAGACGTGTGATTTTTATTAATGTTCTCGAAAGTTTGCCAACTAGCCGTCAGATGTCAGATTAATCGCGAAGAAAATGTCAATACAAGTGTGCGCGAAAACATTTTGACAGCATGATATTTTAACAATTCTCAGCGACATATTTGTGAAAATTACGTGATATATTTAATTATATTAAGATGTCGAGCATCACGATATCGGCCATAAGACCACGGACCAGTATCCTTGACAAATCCTTGAGCAAGGGTAAGGGAGAGGTTAGCTTAAGCTGCTTTGCCCTCCTGTTCTCCGAATTGGTGCAATATTGTCAAAACAGAGTCTACACCGTTCCGGAGCTGCAGAATAAGTAAGAAATCAAATTTATATTTCATCATTCATCTCGCGCTCGCTTGTCAGAGACGTTACATTGCCTTTCTGCTGTGACTAGATTGGCAGAGATCGGAGCAGAGGTTGGGCACAGGATAACGGATCTGCTCGTGGTACGGGAAAAGGGTGGCAAACGCGAGATAAAGCTGCTTAACGTGCTGCTGTTTGTCAAAAGTACGGTGTGGAAGTCCCTGTTCGGTCGAGAGGCCGATAAGCTGGAGCACGCCAACGACGACGAACGTACTTATTACATCATCGAGAAGGAGTCCCTGGTGAACAAATTCGTGTCGGTGCCCAAAGATAAGGGAAGCTTGAACTGCGCGTCCTTCGTCGCCGGTATCGTGGAGGCTGTACTTTGCGATCACGGCTTTGTAAGTGGTTTCGATTGTCCCACTTTTTGAGATAATTCATTGATCAATTCTTAAGCTTGCGTTTGTGTTCTGTGCACGTTCATATTTTTATAAGACCAGATTTGTAAAAAATGTTTCAAATGTTATTGCAGCCCGCTAAGGTAACCGCGCACTGGCACAAAGGAACCACGTACATGGTGAAATTCGATGACGCCGTTATCGCCCGCGACAAGCAACTGGAGGATCGGTAATAGAAAGAAAATAAAAACGTTACTGTAAACTATCTCTATAAAGTGAAAATATGTAATACCTGTACGCGAAGTTTATGAATTATTGTGATAAATCCACGAAATCTTTAATTGTTGTGTTAAACTCACATTTCATATATGTGTACCTTTTACATCTGAGACTGGTATTTTTCTTAATCAAGCCTTCAACGTTTTTTTCTTTGTCAATCTTATTTCTTCTAACGACGTACATTACGTTTAACATTATATATATATTGCTTGTTATAAATAGTTTATTTCGCTGTACAATCTAGCTAGGTACATCAACTGCCTTGTATCTTGTTAATATAATCATTTAACAGAATCTATGCGTTCTGACTTCATAAGGGATTTGCCCAGTGCGATACTTGTGTTCTCGATCTTCCTGTGAAAACAAACAAGTAATACACATTACATATTAATATATTTTATTTTACATAGCAGGTTCGCGTAGCTTGTTTCTTTACATCTGGCTTACCCTTCTGGTTTTTAATCCCAATGCAGTTACGATAATAAGACCCGCGATGAATCCAACTCGCGTGATGTATCCTACCACTGTAGGCACGAAGTGCATGCTGATCGATGTTTTCGCAGAGGCATATCTGTATATTCCTGTATCAAACTATATTCATAGAATAAGTAATTGCGTGATTATTTATTAAAATTGATTTACATTATCAAACACAATCATCATTTGCTATGTCTAAATAAGTTAAGTGTCTAGGTAAGAGACACAACAGAT